ATGATTATTGCTGCATATATTTCGATTAAATACATTAAATCACTGACAAAAGATAATATTTTGTATAAAAGTATGTTTTAAAATGAAGTTTAATCTCTACTTTATAATTAATTATTTTAATTTTTATAGGAAAAAATAAGATTTTATATATATGCTCAGAAAAATTTTTTGCTCAGAGAAGTATATGTTCCGCTCATCTACAAAAAAAATTAGAGGGAACATTGGTTGTGAGAAAAGTGGCCATTAACTTCAAAGATGATGATAATTTTCCAATCTTGGAAAATATGCCTCCATCACCATTAAACCTTAATACAGGGGTGTCCAACCTTTTTGTTTCTCTGGGCCACATTGAACGAAGTCAAGGAGTTTTGGGCCACAAGTATTAATATATTATACATACTTATGGCGCAATCCTTAAATATACAAGTATATTAATATTTAAGGATTAATATATCTAGATTATAGTAATAAGTATTAAAACTTTATCACGAAAAAGAATATTTTAAAAAATTATTTCTACAGACACTTTCAATTTTTACTTAGAAATAGATAAATTCATTTATTATAAAAGAGACAAACGAAAATTTATTTGAAAAACACAAATATTTGTTTCATTTGGGTCTCTAATTAATAAAAAGCAACGAAACACCATTTTAATTAAAGTGCATTTTTAATCAACTAATATATTTATAAATAATATGTAGCCCAAAAAGTAGCCAATGCGCCAAATGATATTTTTTGCGCCAAACTAACAGAAGGATAACCAAATTTGGCGCAAAGTAGCCAATCTTGCAACACTAGAAGGAATATTAAATAAAGCTGGAGTTGGGGCTCAAGGATTAAAGACCCAAACGAGGAGAAAAGAGAGAAAGGACAAAAGATAAAGTGAGGAAGGTTGAAAAATTAAGGGTCAATATTTGCATAACAGAACGTCTGTTTAACCTTTCTCACTACTTTTTATCTTTTGGCTTTTCTCTCCTTTTCTTGAATTTGGATCTACAATTCTATGAGTCACAACTCCAGCTTGATTTAGTATTCCTTCCTCATTCACACATTTTCAAGTATTTGAAAATATTTCCTTTCCACTCAAAAATAAAATATGTATAAAGTTTGTGAAACTTCTTTTTTGAGTTTATGTTGTTGAAATAAATAAATAAATAATAAAAATTTGTCGGCTTTGTTTACACGTTTATTGGGCCGCATTGGAACTTGCCTTGGGCCGCGGGTTGGACACCCCTGCCTTAATATATCCACAGGTTATCTGATGGAGAAACACTAACCAGTGAGCACCTACATCTTTGAACCTGTTTGTTTCTAAAGATGCAGTTTTGTTTTTGAACATTAGCCTGATGATGTCCATTAAAGATAGAAGTAAACATTTGCTGTGTTAAAGTGACTGTTCTTATTGCTGGTTTTAGGTTATTGAGTTAATTGCCTTGTTATACATCACCTTTCTGAATATAAATTCATTTGAATCTTATATTTCAAATTCTCTACTCTTGAAACTTTGAGTCTTTTATTTATGTATGTTATCGGCTAAACCTGATTTCAGTCCAAACTAGTTTGTCCTAGGCGTGTCAGGATATACTGGTTTAGCCTAGGACAATCTAGTTTGGCCTAAATACTTTAGGCTTAACTAGTTTGTTCTAGGCTGAACTGATTTAGATTTATTATTTAAGTCAGGCCTGACGAATCCAAATTGTTTCGCATGCCACTTTGATCACGCGTAACATTACAATGGGCCACAATTTAGGCAAACATGCTTTTAAAAAAGTAAAACAAATACAAAATTAATAAGATTTCATTGTTATACCAAGAGTTCGTACTTGCACTTGCGCATTATAACAATGACACATGCAAATTTTAATTTATTTAATTGTTTTGGTATACACAAAACGGAAAACAAAAGTTTTATTAGATATATTATATCGCTTAGCGGGCCACACAATTTAATGTGATGGGCTGTGGTTGGCCAGGCCTGATTTAAGTATATTAGTGGTTAAAATAACATTAAAAGGCAATCAATTAGATCAGTGGTTCCCAACCTTTTTTCATTAGTGTACCTCGTGACATGTCATATCTCTAGATTGTACCCCGTGACATGTCATATCTCTAGATTGTACCCCTCATTTAAGAAATTTAGTGAGTAACCGTATTGTTAATTTTACATATTGTAACTTTAAATTAAAGAAAAAAAACCTAAAAGAAAAAATGTATAATAAAGTTGTGATTGTTGCAAGGAACATTTTTTATCTAATAATTTTTTAATACTATTAGTTTGTGATACATAATATATTATTTTTTCTGCCATAATAACTAACTTTTTTCTGTACCCCTAAACAACCTATCGCGTACCCCTAGGGGTACGCGTACCACAGGTTGGGAATCGCTGAATTAGATGAACAATATCTATTCAAACATAGTCTACTTAATTATAAAAAATGGTATTGATTAGAAGTCACACAACACTACTATACAAAACTATAAAATAAAAATAAGCTAATCAGTACTTATCAGTTTGTATTTTTTTATTAAACCATGCACTTTTAAAGGTAATTAATTTTCAAAAATATTTTTAAAAATTCAGACGAAATAATAAAAATAACTTTTAAAGTCAAACTAAAATTAAAAATGAACTTGTTTGTGTTTCTTAGTGTAACAAATAAAATATTTAATCTTTTATTTATTTTTACAGGGTGGGTTAAAGTGTACCTAGGTAACCCAAATGGCTGCGCTTCCAACTGTTTGTGCTCCCGACGGACTCCTCCCGGAGGGGAGCCACCGGCAGGCCACCCAGTGTTTAACATCACTAGTTATTGATTCACGGTAGTTCTTGAACAAAAGAAAAAAAAAAAGGAAACGTCTACTAAAAATGTAGTTAACCTAACCAAACCAACCTAACCGAAGCACCGCCGTTGGGATTACCTAAGTACTGTACACTTTAACCACCGGGTGTACTGTGGTGGCATTTTGAATTACACAAAATCATGTTTTTTACACTGGCACCTATTTGTAGTACATGAATCAGTTCGGCCTAGGTCAAACTAGTTAAGCCTAAAGTATTTAGGCCAAACTAGATTATCCTAGGCTAAACTAGTATATCCTGACATGCATAGGATAAACTAGTTTGGCCTGAAATTGGGTTTGGCCGGTAACATACATAATATTATATCTCCCTATTTATTTGACTCTCAGAACTTAATAAAGTTTAAAATTAGGCAGATTATATGTACATGTGTCATTTTCAGATATCCAAATTTTTGATAATACAATAGCATCTGGTTTTAAATTCACTGCTGACTTGGGATTCAAAACTTATCAAAGTTTTTACATGAAAATATTAGAAGTATACATAAAATCATTAAATTATATATTGCTATTATGTTATTTAACTTGGAGAAATTATTGTATTTGATAGCAGACGTTTTAATAAATAACAGCAACAATTATTTAATACTTAAATTGTATTTATTCTGATGTAATATCAGAAGTATTACATGCTATCCTTCTCAGAATCTTTATATTTAATCAATTGCTTATTTTTAATAATAAAGATATTTAATGAACCATCAAACACCTTCTGTTGCTGAGAAATGTTTTATTAATCAAAACACTAACATTTTCAACCTAATAGAATAGGCCATCTTTACTTGCAACTGAATTCGAACTTATTTTTAAAACTTTAACATTTTAACGATGAAATGCACGAACATTTAAATTTAAAACAAAAATATTAGATAAATTAACAAATAAATAATAAAATAAAATATATTAAGAATTTTTGGTGGAACTGACTCTACACAGAATACTTACAATTTTTAAAAATTTTAAAATAACCAATATAGTAAAACCATTTTTGAACTGTGTGCGCTGACGTATTGGGTTTTGGAATGTCATGAAATGAGATCAGTGTATCTCATACCATGCTATCTATGCACTATGAGACCCTCTGCATCCTCTGCAATTAGTGCATTTAAGGTCCCTTACAGATTTGTATATTTCCAATCATTTCATTCCTTTTAACTCTTGCTTGTGGGTGGATTGTATCAATTGTGCTCTCTGCATTTCTATGCGTGTATCTTGTGTCATTGCAAATGTTACTATGGAGGTGTATGGAAGACATGGTATGAGATACCCTGACCTCATTTCATGCTAAATTAAAACAGGAAACTAAGAACAAATTGACTTAAATATGATCTACTACAACAGTAAATGTAGACTTGTGGCCACTCTACTACAAACCTTTCAGCAAACATCATCTGCAAATTGATGCTGCTTCTGTTTTAACTTACTTTGGTTTACTTTATTTTATTCATTTCTGAATAATTGTAACTTCCATACAATTTTAAATTTGAAAAAGTTTGTGTAGTGATATGGGACCTACTCGCTTTCCCCAAGTATAGTCTGTGTTATATATATATAAATCAAAAAAAGAAGAATCTGGAATGCTGGAACAGAAGAGAGTTTACAAATGATGTAAGGTGGAAAGGAGAGTTTGTTCTTTTTGAGGAGTAAAGAAAATGTTTGAATTTGTTTTGTTTAAGGATTTTTGTTAAAAAAAAAGGGACCTGTAGCGATACTTTAAATGTAGGGATGTTCTCTCTTTCAAATGTATTCACTCTAATGCACTTGCTAATTTTCACCGCGGATGATGATCTTATAAAAGAACAAAAATTTTACTAAATAAAAATTTAATTTGGTTTCTAAAATTAAGCATTGTTTCTCATTTTTCTGAGTATAGTGCCAAAATCAAGTATTATTTTTGTTGGTCAAAATTTATTGTTTATTAAAATATTTGTGTACTTGAAGAAACTTTATCTTAATGATAATGTAAACATTAATATTAAAATAACTAAGAATTTTCAGATAAACTTAATTTTATTATGTTCTCACTATTACTTGACTATGTCAATTATTTGTTGTTAATAAGTCTTAAATGTTATATAAAATACAATTAATTGTTGTAAATTGATTACTAAATATACTCTTTTATTTTCCAGATGATTATGTTGCTGTGAAATATTACAAGAAAGGTTAATTATAATTTTTTATTTTTTAATTATAAAAGTATTAAATAGTAACAATATTTAGATAGTTTTTCAAATTGCAAAGGCTTATTGGGTTGCAATTTGAAAATTGCAGACCTGTAAATTCTCACTGGTGTGTCTGTCTGTCCCTCCTTAATGTTGCAAACGGAGTTAGATAGATGAAAGTCGAGACCAAATATGGAAAGCTTAGAGGAAGGAGGCACCAATTAACTATATGCAAACTTCCAATTGGGACAACAAGTCATGTTATTTCAATACAAAAATTTTCTCCAGAACAGAGTTAGATAGATGACTGGCATAACTCTCTTGTTAATAGGGAAAATATGATGTATAGAGGCAAGACATTATTAATTAAAATTGAGAACATATACCAGGGGTGACAAACCTGTGGCACGCATGCCCAAAGTGGCACATAAGGAGAAATCATTTGGTACAATGTATTGTATGATTTTGATTTATTATCTGTTTTTTCCAATCATCTTTTTTGTTTATCAACTGATTATCCTTTTTTCAATCAGCTTTTTTACATTTATTCTAATTAAAACATTTTTGTTTAATTTATTTAAATATTATTATTTGAAATCTAAACTTTGGCATGCATAAATATCTTTAAAGTTAAGTATGCTTATTATATGGCAGGCAGTCTCAAAAAGGTTTGCCACACTTGACATATACACTCCTGAAAAGCAAAATTGCAACATCACAAAGGAATGTGTATAGCCACATGCACGTTGCAGAACTAGAAGTGTGACAGAGATATGCAATTGATGAAAAGAACAAATAAACATAACTTTATTCAGTAATGAATATGGCCTCTACAAGCAGCTATACTGACCACTATACAACAAAGCATATTATTAATGGGGCAATTAATGGTTACCTGAGATATCCCTTGCCAGCCTGTGGCTGCTGCAGCACGCATGATGTCTGCACTATGTGGTGGTGGTCCCTGCTGCACCTCATGTCAGACAATGTCCCACAGGTGTTTTATTCTTCCATAGATCTGGCTAGACTGCTAGCCAGAGAAGGATGTGAATTTTGTTCAGGCTGGTGAGAATTTGCCGGCAAATTCTCACCAGCCTGACAAAATTCACATCCTTTTTGAAAGTAGGCTTTTAACACTCAGAATTGGTATAGGAGAATTTCACAGATCAACACGAGATACTCGTATAATTTGTGAATATAGTCTTCCAATTGTTAAACTAGAGGTGGGAAGATCTGCACTGATCTTTCAATTAATCTTCTATTGGAATAGTCTGTGCAATGATTTATGTAACATATCAAGTTATGAAATCTTCAAAAAGAATGTAAAAAGAAGAAAAACTTTAAGCCACAGTGATATTTGTTCTCAATTAATTTTTAGACTTGAGGTAGAATGTAATTTTCTTTCTTAGCTTGCATCCTGTTTTTGTTTTGTTTTGTTTTGGTTTTGTTGATTTTTGCTTTAAGATGCTTGTAAAAGCACCTGGCCACAGTGTCTTTTTGAGAAATAAAAATAAAAAATAAAAAAAATAACAAACATAATACATATAGGCTCTCGTTGTCTAATCTATGTAGATCTAATTTTTGTACAAATGGCAGTTGCATTAGAAAAAGCTCTCTCGGAACCAATACTAGTTGGATGTACTGTCATTAGAGCATTGAAAACGTTTTTAAGATATATTCCTTGTATTTTTTGCTTTAAGAAATAATTCATTTCTTTTTTAAACTATATCTTTTACATTTTAAACTTATATTACTGTTATCAGTGTCTATGCTTGTGTTATGTTTAATGAATAAGTCCAATATCTCTTTCATTGTTAAATTTGACTTTTCTATTGTGCACTTTGTTCTCGTGTCGGCATGAGAAGTTGATGGTGTAGTAAGCAATAACACTTCTCACCAGAATCTGAGTCTGAACTAATTTTAGTGACATTCACAGGTCATAATTTGTTCTCAATTTTTGATAAATGCTTGATTGTTTCTATAATATCATCTATAATGTTAACAAAATTATATTTTTGTTAACATTATTGGATATTTTATGTAACTTATATTTGTTCAATTTTCTGGGTTATTTTCCTGTATATACTCCAAAATCAAGACCTGTTTTTGGAGTGTAATACAAGCAATCAAGTTATAAAAAGACTAGATAATTCCTTTTAATAACTTTAAATTACAAATGGAATGACCCATCTACCACTTGCACTGTTTTCTTGCTATGGTATGGGGAGACAAAAAAGAAATCTGCTTCCTACGGGTATTTCCCATGGAAATTTTAGGAAAATAAATATTGAGTTAATTAAGAGGTTTTTAAACCAAAATACCGGTAAAAAAATTAATTACTGGTAAATTTACCGGGATACAATTTTTTTAATTTATCAGTATATCAGTAATGCAATCACTACTTGCAAATATTTAATACACTCTTTAGACAGTGAACAATGTTCAGATATGGCTTCAGGCTCTATAAAAGAACACTCAAAGAAAATTGGATGGTGTAATAAAGTATTGCTATCTATATAATGTAAGAAAATGCAGTGGGTGATTGATTAACGAACATAATCTGTTCCAAGACTTTGTTCGTTATCCAAATTGTTTAACCGATTATCGATTTACCATAGGTTATTATGGGAATTTGATTAATTTGTTTTGGAGACTGCAAAAAATATAAAAAAATAAACTTTTTTATTACGTTTATTTATATCTAATAGTAAAAATACATATATATGCAGTCTTGCATTTTTATTAGTCATGTTTTTTCTGTTTGTGAGGGATAAAAAATCTGTCCAATGTCGATTGCTTTTCTTTCTTTTTCAGGATTTTTCAGAAGTAATTAATAGTATGTAAGGAACCAAGTCCGAGCGTTATTTTTAGTTAGTTTTATTTTGCTTTTTATTCTATTTTTGTTTGGGGCTTATGTTTTGTTAGGACAAAGGTTTCCTCACCACTCACCTTAGTAATTTAAAACAGAAGAAAGAAAAACCAACTCACCAATGAGAAAAAAGCGCCGTATAAAAAAAAAAACATGCGCATACTTGCACTTCTGAGCGGAAAGAAGTAAGTCCGCACTGAAAAGAGGGGAGAGACCCCACAAGCACAACTCAAGAACTTGCTAAACCTTAACAAAGAAAACATTCCGAAAATTGTCAAAAAGAATAATGTAAAAGGTTAGCGAGTATTGTTGGGAAATAGACTGCCAGGAAAAAAAGAAAAAGTTCAATGTTACAGATAAGTATGTAAATGAAGAAAGTGATCTCAATCAGAATTGTGATGTCACCTCACAGTATAAAGTCTGAACCTCAAGTGAAGATGACTGAGGTGAGCTTCTGTTAGCAACAAGCGTGGTGAGCTTTGTAGCAGAGAATGACAAGAGGTGTCCGATAGCGATAAAGGTGTTCCAAGGCAATTAGAAGTTATTCAATTTGTGGATAGAAAATTAGAGAAAGTCTTGAGAGTTGAGGAAAAAGGTTCCTAGTATATTAAGGTGATGATTAGGACCTTAGTTCATAAGAATTGTTGTACATAAGTTAAGGCTTTGAATTTTTGTTGAATTCCAAAGGGGAATAGATGTAAGTGAGCAAATAGATTGATTTGAGTTTTGTCGGATTGATTCTATTGATTTTCATTGAATAAATTGTTGTTTGATTGTTACTAAATTTTGTATATAGTTATTACTAGAATTATTATTAAATATTGGATTGTTTTTGAATAACTTTGTCATTATTTAATTCAATGCACGCTTAAAGTCCAGGCCTGACACATTAACGCAAATCTGCATAAATTATCCGTTAGGTAACAGCTATTTTCGGCACACAGTTGTGTCGATAATCGTTGTTAAAGTCGTAAAAATAATATAGTACTTTACAAGTATTGTAATTGTAGAGATCCCAACCCCATTAACCTTATTCTGGTTTGGATGCCATTGGATGATTGTTGTTCTGACATCCTCCCACTTCTTCAAAAGAACTTTAGTAGCAGATGTCAACATCGGTCCTTTTTCACCTTCTTTTTTTTCAAAAGAAAACACATCTTGCTGAGTTTCTTGGTATTCTTCATTTGAGAGTTCTTGGAGTTTGTCTGTTGTCAGATCTATTTCAGGTTTCATTATGAGCTCTAAAATGCTCTTTATTTCTCAGATGTGATTTTCATGACTCCATTAGCAGCTTGAGACTTTTTGATATCTTTCTTAGCTAAAATTGTGCCTACTGTAGACCTGTTCAAGCCATACTGCCTAGCAACATCAGACATCTTGTGCCCACTTTCTATCTTGGCTATTATCTCTTACTTGGTTTCTACCGTGAGCACAGTTCTTGACACTCCTCTTTTTAGGCTCCATAATATTATCAGTTTCTTTCTTAAATAAAAAGTTCAGAAAAGCACTTACAAAAATTCAGAGAACAGAAATCAACTAGCTCACAAAAAATTATTTAAATGCAAAGCCCGGATGAAATTTGAAATTTGGTATTAAAACGTTAATGAATATCTGATGGGACAGTTAAACTTTCACCTTTCGTAAATAAACTCCGATGCAAAACTTAACAAGTACCCATCCGACAGTCTCGCGAAGACTATAAAAAATTATTTGTCAGAAAGGTAAACAAAAAGCTGGAATTACAAGGGAGAGTTTCAAAATTTGGATGGATACTATCTGATCGGTATCGGGTTGAGTGTCGATGTTGACGTCTTCTGCGCTCCGAAAGGTTTCGAATTGTTACCTGAAGACAAGGGAAAATCAATCAGTATTCGTTATTTTCTGTTGATTCTTTTTATGTTTGTTTTGTGAAGTGTTTGTTATCTGAACATGTGTTCGTTGTCCGATCATAAATCTTTCGCGAAAGTGTTTGTTATCCAATTTGTTTGTTAACCGATCACCCACTGTATTGTAAAGTTGTTGACCGTAAAAAGGGGGGTTCAGTCACACTAAAGTCAAGATGTACTGTATGAGGGGTCTAGAATGGTATGTGGGTTGTGGGTTTGCACTGACACAAGCACCTTTACAATTG